ATCAAGCTATTGTACATTTTTGCAGTGTATTTTATGTTTGGTACATTTTTAATTTCAGAGTTGAGTTTGCTTATGAGATGGAGCTCTGAATTGTATTTTTAAAATGTATGATGACCTCAACATTTTCAATTAACATTTTTTTTTTTGTTTTTGAATTCACAGTAGAGTCTGAACATCTGGTAATATGATTCAAATGTCCTCCATCTTCTCCCTCCAGAGACTCAGTTGACTATCTTCTATTTATATTTGGATTCAAATTTTCAAATGCCTACTTTATGCTGCTGCAATATGTGCTTAGGGATTTGAAATGGATGAATCCAATACATCTTTCAAGATTGATAGCTCTCCTAACCCTCAAAATATTAGTGCTAAGTAGAGCAATATTTTCAAAAGGAAAAAAAAAGTGTAATGGAATGACTATGCTAATTATAGACAAATGCAATCCAGTAAAAGATTAATAATTAAATTAGCAATCCTACTTCAGTAACTATCATCATCAGTGGGTGACAACTGGACGCAAAGGAAAAGTGAGCATTTTAGAGGAAAATATTCACAAAATAATTAAATATGTACTGTGCTAATTGCTGCAATTTAGAATACTACTGAAAACCTTCACCAGACTCTGGACCCATCATGCATGAATAATTTGCCTAACTATGTAACCTAGATGTACCACTTCTGAGCTAAGCAGTCCTAGATAATTTATATGCAACAACTTTTTAAAGTGGAGTGTTGACATTGGCTAATATAAGAGTGTGTGAGCTGATTGTGAAATATTTAGATTTTGTGAGCCAGTTCATATCACATTTGTTGCTTGAAATCAGCTGTGGCAGATGTGTTTGCACTATAGAAAGTGGCCAACATTACAAATTAGTGTCTTTTTTTGTTTATTTTGCATTGTACTAAACACATATTATTAAACATTTATCAGCCCACAACTTCCTCTATACTTTGATTTCCATATTTGTAAAACGTGGATAATAATCATACCTCAATTTAACATTTTTTATTTTTACTCTATAAACTGATCTTTTGAAAGATGTAGAGCAGTAATTAATGAACATTACACTCTCTATATTAAATACTTTTATCTAGAAAAACTACAAAATCCAAATTAGCAGCTGATTAAAGTAAGTTGTGATGCATTCTGCAAATATTCACTGAGTGATTCTTAGTGAGCATAGCTCCACCATTAGGCCCTTGGCTTAATTTAGTGACAAAACAAAGGTCTGTGTCCTTCCAGAGCTTACATTCAGTTGAGAGACAAATAAATAAAATCATGTACATGATAAATTATTAAATAATCAAAATGTAGAATTTCCAAAAGTGTTACCTATTATTAAAAAGAAAAAGGAGGATTTTTCTAGTCCAGTGGTTGGCAAACTCATTAGTCAACAGAGCCAAATTCAACAGTACAACGATTGAAATTTCCTTTGAGAGCCAAATTTTTTAAACTTAAACTTCTAATGCCACTTCTTCAAAATAGACTTGCCTTGGCCATGCTATTTTGTGGAAGAGCCACACTCAAGGGGCCAAAGAGCCTCAAAACGTGGCTCTCAAGCCTCAGTTTGCCAACCACAGCCCTAGCCAGTTTGGCTCAGTGGATAGAGCATTGACCTGGGGACTAATGGGTCCCAGGTTTGATTCAGGTCAAGGGCATATTCCTGGGTTGCAAGCTCCTTCCTGGCCCTGGGCCTTGGTCAGGGCATTTACGGGGGGAAGCCAATCTATGTGTTTCTCTCACACTGATTTTTTTTTCTCTGTCTTCCCCTCTCTCTTCTACTCTCTCTAAAAATCAAAGAAAAAATATTCTCAGGTGAGGATTAAAAAAAAAGAAAAAGGAGAAAAGAGGATTAATAAGGAGAGAAATCTTAGAATGATTAGAGTAGACATCATATGAGGATTACTCAACTTATTTGTGGAAAATATACAAATGCTGGCACAAATTTCTTACTAAACTTTTCTAAAATCATTCAAAGCCTTGTTAAACAGATCAGCTCTTACTATCCAGTTAATGACTCCAACTAACTTCATTATTCCCAGTCTGATTGTCTACTTGGCCAATTGATATTAATTTAATTTTATGACAAAGCCCTCTAGATCATCCAGTTTTAAAACATTTAGGATTTGAGCATCAAATAATCTAAATAATATAGAGGCTTTAAGTACCAGGGTCTAATGCAGTGGCACAATATTTGTGGATTGCCAGTAGGAAGTGCTCACTGGCAATGAAATACATTTTTAGTAGCCAAGCTAAGGGCCTAGGGAATCCAGGTGGAAAGATGCTATGGGATTTGTTGCTATCTCCCTTCTAATTATTATTCCCATTTCACTGTTAGCTGCTATGCAACCCATTAAACTGCAGTAGTAGAAACTGTTATCCTAGCTAAACATTTTCAGGAAGAAATATCCTTTCCTCCTTTTCTTCTAAACCAAGAAAGAATATGTCTTCTTATGTGTCTGGAAGTCAAATAATAGCTTCATTTTTTTTTTCTTTAATGTAGTGTAGGGCTGGTGAGCATGAAGTTGCAAGAAAGAAAGATTGAACTAGAAGGAAGGAAGTTGAAAGAGAAATATCATCTATAAAATAATTTTAGAATTTCTATCATTTCTCTATATAAGTAATGGACACCTATTTTTTTAATAGGATTACTGAGTCAAATAAAGAACAGTAATTCTTTCCAAAACTTACAAAAAGAGTAATAGTGTGAAACTTTAAAAATTATTTATATATATATAAAAACCCACCTTTACCTCTATCATTTACTTCAATAGTAGACTTTTCTGGCTATATATCATGGACCACTTCTTTGATCTAGTGTTTTCTACATCGAAACAACAGAAATAGTCAAATCTCAGAGGGAAGGTGGGTGGAAAAAAATTAAGCAAAGAACTTATATGTATAACCTATGGACACAGACAATAAATAGTGTGGTGAAGGCCTGGGGTGAGTGTGGAGGGATTGGGCTAGAAGTGGCCAATGGGGGAAAAAAGAGGACATCGGTAATACTTTCAACAATAAAGATAATAAGTAAAAAAAAACAGAGGCTCTAAAAACCTCTCTCAACACATTTAGTAGATACTGTTTTTCTATTAATATAATAAATTCTTACCAGTGTGAATGCTACTTAATAAGATATTTTAGAGTAAAAATGCATCATTTTGTGTAGTAAGTGTGCACATCAATAAGGCAATGAATAAAATAAAACTGCTAATAACAGAATTATTTCAAGGAGTGCTTCACAATGGAATATCAAGGTAAAGAAATGTACTTAAATGTTCTTTTTATATGTTACTGTGAAAACATTGCATAATAGTAACCTGTTAAGCATTTGATTTTTAAAAAAGTAGACATATCTTCATTAAATTTTATTTAAGTATATCAAACTGTTTTATTTTAATATATATATATATATATAACATTGTATACTTGTATTTTATGTATTTATACAAATGTTTACATTTATATTATCATAGTAAATTTATTGAAATGAATATTTTACCATATGGAATTAATGAGAATACAATAAAAAAATAAATGTAAAAGAATGGGAAAGAAAAACAGAAAATAGGAAAAGGTATCATAAATTAAAGTGCTCTGATAGGTTTGCCATTCCCCATCGGGATGGTTTAGTATCTGGTTTCCAAAATGCAGGTTACCTACATATACTTCTGCCATGATATCGTGTGTACATCGTAGTAATACATTTAAAAAAACTAAAGGATGAGATTTAGGTGAAATTAAATTGAAAACATTTTATCTTTTAATAGTCAAAACTATATATAATATAACTTAGCTCTTACTAATTAAACACGTCACAGTCATGCAGGATCGGTTCTGAGAAATGTGTCCTCGGGCGATTTTTCTTTTCCTGGGAATATCATGCTTGCACTTGCATAAACCAGGGTGGCACAGCCCACCACTGTAGGTGTCTATGTTTGGCTTTCATAGAACTGGCAGCACCGTGGGTTTGTTCACACCAGCATCACCACAAACACACGAGGGACCATGTGTGAGCCCTGACAGCCCGCTTTTCTTTCTGGGATGCCAGTGCCTGGTGTAAGCTCTGACTAGCTCGCATCCTGTCCAGGGGGGCTGTGGAGCCCCCTGCACCCAGCTCAGGACTGGGACCCCAGCCGCCGCCTCCCCGCACTGAGGCGCCTTTACTCCAGAGATCGTGGTTAGTGGGGATCACTGACCATTTGGGCTATTTGTTCTTTCCTCTTCCCACACTTTCATTCCCTCTCTCAGGTTCTAATTCACAGATGAAGAGCGAGCAGGAGCGCTAGGCCCGCCCCCACCAGCACCTCCACAGAAGAAGCAGGAGCCCAGGCCCAGGGCGCCCAGGTCAGCTCCACTCACCACGGCTCCTGAGAAAGCTCCGGGTCGGTAAGTCCTAAGTATTTTACTTCCAAGATTCCTAAAGGTTGTCATGGAAGGACGTCTTGCAGCCTCAATAACCACAGGCCCCATCCGGTCTACACCCACACCCGGTTTGTAAAGGAGAGGCCGCTGCAGAAGCCCTGGGCCAGGTGAGGCCTGCAGGCGTTTCTATCCATAGAATGAGCCCGCAGGTCAGCAATGCCTGATGCTGTGATGAAAAGGTGGTTTGGGAGGTCACTAAACAATAGGAGTTTTTCTCTTCCATTATGATCTTATGGGACCACCTTTGTATCGGGGGACATTGCTGATAGAAGGTGATTAGTGGTGCATGAGTGTACTCTCCTGATAGAACGGGGCAGAGGTCCGCCTGGGCAGGGAATCCCACTCTGACACATTTTGGGTTGACTAAGTAAGCTCTCTGTGTCTTAATTTCCCCTTTAATAATATGGCAGTAATGATAGTACAACCTCATAGAACTATTAAAAAGAGGTCATTTTAAAAGCCTTTTAGAACTCTCTGTGATTCAGAAAGTCAAAGGTACTCATTTGAAATCATTTCAATTTTTGGTCATATTCACTTCCATTAGAGAAACAGCTATCTCACAGTGATATCTTAATTTTTTATACTAAGTGTTTTATTTGTATGCTGCTGCCAGTGCGTATACAATAATCATTCTTATGAAATAGAAATTCATGAAAATTCAGAGAGGTAGACGTTAAGGACTGACAAAAGCAGAAGTTTGAATGGTATGGCACATGTTATAGGGTAAGCTTTTTGTACAGGCTTCAGATTTAGCTTTCTTTGAGTATCCACCGGTTCAAGAAAAGTGGTTTAGAACACCTTCAAAATTCGTTTTACTACAAAAAAGAACAAACTTTCTTGGGTCTGAAGGGATTGAGGTATGAGCAAGCTGATTTGTTTTGATGGCTGTGAGGAAACCTGTGTTCACATCTCTCCTCATTTTGGGTAGCATCAGGCATACATTGATTTGTAGACGGTGTTTTCTGTATACCTTCAGATCCTCTTCCCTCTGTACATCTCTGTCCGAATTTCCCCTTTATGTGAGACATCAATCATATCGCAGAGTATTGTCCATCTAATGACCTCATCTTAACTTGGTCATCTCATCTGCAAAGATCTTATTTCTTTTTTATTTTTAAAAAAATATATTTTATTGATTTTTTTCAGAGAGGAAGAGAGAGGGATAGAGAGTTAGAAATATTGATGAGAGAGAATCATCGATCATCTGCCTCTTGCACACCCCCTACTGGGGATGTGTCCGCAACCAAGGCACATGCCCTTGACCGGAATCGAACCCGGGACTCTTCAGTCCGCAGGCTGACACTCTATCCACGGAGCCAAACCGGTTTCGGCAAATATCTTATTTCCATGTAAGATTGCATTCACAAATACTGGGGTTAGCATGTTAATATCTTTCAGGGAAAGACAATTCAACCTATCACAATATGTAATATAACTTATTGTCTATAGCAACAACATATTGTTTCAATGAAAGCATCTTTAAGTACACTCCATATCACCAATCTAGAAAGAAAATTAGGTTCCTCTTAAAGGTACTTTCTCACTCATGGTTAAAAATATCTCTATCTTGAAGAAATAGAATAAATGTGTTTTTCTTTTATTTATACCCACTCAAAAGAATACCTATCATCAAAGAATCAGCAAATTTGAAAATCTATTTTGTATAAATGGAAAATGTACAAAGCATGAGAAGAGAGAGTGTCATCATTATTAAAGAAAGATATAATTTCACATTTCAAATACTATTTGTAGATGTTTTATATGAGCTATTACCAGCTATAAGCCACTGGTTATTATTTATACTTCACAATATGACACATACAGTAATATTTTAGATCAGGGCCTTAGTAATTAAATAAGATTTAGTTCAGTTATTTGCCCTTGTGTTTTTGCAGTACTTTGTTATAGTTGGTAACATGTTCACTTTTCAGAAACCTATCGTGACCTTTGGACAAATTGTAATGTTTTGTTAACCCTAATTCAATTCTCATTATACACAAATTGAGTAAACATACCGTAGCCAATCTGTGTATATCCTAGGTTAAATATTCTAGATTGAATATAAAAACAACACTAGAAGTTCTGATATTTTTCTTCCTGATGAAAGGCATTTCCTCCGATATGGATGATCACATTTTGGTACTGAAGTAAGAGGATTTTTACAGGTTACATCCACTAATACAAAATCCTACATATGTATCAATTTAGATCAGACGGAGGAAGTGTCTTTTATCTAGTAGCATCATTTGTAGCCATAGCATTTTTATGGACTGTACATTAAGGGAACCACAAAAGCCAACCAAATGTTCTGAGCTCTGCCCTAACCCTAAATACACCTGAGCACCTATATTTCTGTAGGCTCTTTCTATAACAGTTTTTGTTTACTAATATAAACTCAAAACAAACAAAACAAACAAAAAAAACTTGTCCCTGGAACACATCACTTCAGGCACACAGCATGCAGGAATTCCTTTGAAGTACTCTTAGTGCAGTAAACAGATTCTCCATATTTACTTGCCTCCTAAACAGCTATTTTTAATCATCTCCTTACTTTAAGGCATTGGGGGGGATAATTTAATTTTAATTGTTTTGTTTTCAGGTCCAATGGGTACACATTTAAAGCCAGAATGCTTTTCATGCCTGTGTACATGAAATGATGCCCAGCTCAGTGAAACATAATGAAGAAATAATTCTGGCCCTCTCATTTAGTATGTTGATGTGCTGAAGAAATTTGAAGTCATAGTTCAATAAGTCATAAAATATGAAAGTACTGTGCCAGACGTCTTGTCAGCAAACTTAAAATATGGGTCCTATAACCCAATATATGCATCACAACCGTGGGACACCGAAAACACAGGGAGGAAACATTATGATACATTTATCATTTATACTGCATGCGAGGTTAGGACCCCTAGCTTTCTTATGATGGCTCCACTTGAGTGCCGTAGGAATAAATGTAGCTCAGCGCTCCTTCCCCTTCACAGTTATGCATTGCGCCGTAACAGATCAGCCAGCCAGAGACCCTTTTCACTCAGGCAGAAATGAAATATCAGGGGCCATAACAACACTGTGCCTCTTCCACAGTATGTTTCCTTAAACTATGCACCGTGTGCAGGTGATCCTTTATATAATATATAAACAGTACTTTCCTATGCTTTCAGAAGTCCCCCCAGTCACATTAATATCTGTAGGAACTCTTAAGCTGACTTCACCAAATATATCAAACCGAAGTCAGGGAGCATTCGGTATGATTGCTGGATTTCGGAATTATTATGAGATATTAGCCATGATTCAGAGGCCTTCAGTGTGGTCAAAGAAGGCAAAAGGGGACAAGGAAGCATTTTTCTTCAGGAGCTGTCCTAGGAAACAATTTCAGTTGTTTCCATTTTTTGATAACGTGCTGCTGATTCCTTCTGGTCTTCCCCAGAAGGTGTTTTCCACAGCAGCCCCAGGGGCCGGGACTCCTAGCACTGAATGCCTGCGTCAGGTTGCTAAGGGGACTTTCCCTCCACTATTCCCCTAAGACGAGTCCGGCTGGGAGGTTTGTTAATGGAGTTTCCCTGCACAAGGTGCATCCACGTTTCATTTGCAATCTCTTGGTAAATGTGTTACATTTTCCATTCAATTCATGGGCTGTAGGTATGTAAATGTCATTCCTATTGTTGCTGTGGGAGTTCTAAGACTCATTCTTCTTTAATTATTTGTAGGATGTGACTTATTTAAAGGTATTAATGAGATCAGGAAAAAAACATAGGCTGGAAAAAATGACCTTTCACAGAGAAATTTTCATCAATGATTTTTTTTTAAAGATGATATTTCAGTGGGGCCTAAGGAGACAGTGGATCTCAAGGGTTTTACATATATAATAAATATGCCAACATAGAAATCAGATTCAACATACTGATTTTGCTAATAAAGCAGCAGAAGAAGTTTCTTTATTTGCCAGGTACAAAATGCTTCTGTTTGTAGTATTTGACAATTGTAGACAAAGGCCTGTATTATAAAATATAGTGGCAATATTGATTCATATCTTTGAATTTTACAATGCAATAACCTTTTGTGAAAATATTTTTTTAAATTATGTCTGGCTATTTTAAATAATTTAACTCATTATGTATTTTTTATTTGATGTTTAACTTTCTCTCTTTGTCACATTTAATGGGATCAATAAGCATTATGCCAAGGAATACCGTCTGAGTGCAGTATACTGTACATAATGTCAGTGAACTCAACACAAACTGGTCTTTAGGTAATACAAGTTTCCTGTTATTCACAGGTAATAAACTTTCCTCAAGCTATCCAACACAAAGAAAATAACTCCCAATAAATTTTTATTAGTCATTTAAAATTTTAGTATATGCAAAATGTTAAAATGCATTATATTAAATATAAAAACTTTGACAAAAATGTTACCAGATGGAGTTTATCCCCTTAAAATGAATCCGCTTTAGAAAGCTGTTTCAGTGAAAAATGTGTGAGATTAACTGACACAAATGTATTCATTTATCTGATTTACATATATAATGTCAGGCCATTGTTCCTTTTTATCTTTTGGTACACCAAAAAAATCATTTGGTAGAAACTTACAGCTTAACAGGTACTTAAAAAAAAATCACTCATTTTTCTGAAATTGCAATGGAATAAATTGAATATATGGAAAATATTGGAATATATATATATATATATATATATATATATATATATAAAATCAGTGGTGGCTAATACTTACTTGCTCTAAACAGTTATTGAGCTGCATATTTATCTTCTCATACATTTCCACAGGTGTGTTTTAATAATAATTTGAAGTCTGATATAAGGACATTCTTTCTTTAAAGTATCAAGACATCCTCATATTAACTTCCTAAAGTAATTGCATGCTCTCTTGACTAGCCACTCTGACTCTTGCTATGCTTTCGCCTTTGAATTGATCTTCATTAATTCATTTAAAAAAATATATATTTTATTTTATTTTATTTTATTTTATTTTATTTTATATTATTTTATTCTATTCTTTATTGAGGTATTACATATGTGTCTTTAGCCTCCCTTTCCCCCCCCCCCCCATTACCCCTCACTCGTGCCCTCACCTCCCTAGCGTCGTGTCCCAGTAATCCCACTTCTACCACTTCTAGGAATATATCCCAAGAAACCAGAAACCCCAATCAGAAAGGATATATGCTCCCCTATGTTCATAGCAGCACAATTTACAATAGCTAAGATTTAGAAACAGCCTAAATTCCCATCAACAGATGGGTGGATTAAAAAACTGTGGTACTTGTACACAATAGAATACTATGCTACTGTAAAAAGGAAGGAACTCCTTTCATTTGCAATAGCATGGATAGACCTGGAGAGAATTATGCTAAGTCGTAAATATATATATATATTTTTAGTATTTTCTCTGCATGGGTACTGGAACCATGGGAGAGAATGGTGATTAACAGTGATATGGCCCTGTCGTAATGAGCTTACATTTCTGGTGCCTTTGTGACATTTCTAAATCTTAGGGAAATTACCTGTAAAATTCTTTATAGGTCATATAACTAAAACTTCATTTTTTAAAAGCTGGCTAATGAAGGATCATCATTTTTCACTTTACTTTCCAATCATATTAAAATCTTTTAATTTGACAAACATTTGAATAGGAATTAGTCACACATATAATTTATTTGCACCATTATTCTATTATTATTATTATTTTTAATTTCTAAAAAAACTAAGCCTCTTTGTAATGCTATGACTTTTCCTTCTCAATCCAAGTGCTAATGTGGTTTCTACCATAGGTTTTCATTTAGGATGCTCACCCTGCCCATTGCCCTAGAGATGCCCCAGGGGGTTACTGATACTGTGCCCTGTTTCATTCTGTTCCTATACTCAATTAGAAGGTCCTTGAGATGTGAGATGTGTCACAGAAAACATTTACTGAGCAGGTCAAACTGGTAAGGAAGACTTTACTCAGGCCAATGCAATGAGGGTCTAGATACTAATTCAGCTCCACTGCAGCATAAAGCCGAAGATTTTAGAGCCTGAGGTGAGCTATTGGAGTAGCACTAGAGCATATTAGTGGGGGAGTTTGAACAATGACATTTGGCCATCTGTGTTTGCTATTTGGTACTCATCCAAGTCAAGCTTCCAGCCTTCTATAAAGATCAGGAAATAGAGGCAATATTTTTCTTAATGATTACATTTCAAAGGGATGGCTCCCAAATCCTGGGGAAAGACAGACATTATGGGTTGTACAACTGGCCAGAGGCTGGGAGAAGGTTTTCATTGCAAAGCAGCACAGAAAGTGTTTGAAATTGCAAGTTTTCTAAAGTACATGCTCTAAGAAAGAAAGACCAGTGATATAGTCAGGAAGAAACCCATCTAGAGTTTAGTCCAGCTGAGGGGAACCTGAAGGCACTGTTGGTCAGTTTCCATAATGGATTCTATCATGTCTGTGAAAATGTCTCTCCAAAATGGCTAGTGCCCTACTTTAATTTGAACCCCAGCATTCTCTACCTGGTTTAAAATATTGATAGAATTGTTAAAGCGAGAAAAATAAATCAATATTTCAAAAGTAATGATAGCATTTGATCCTGTTTGGAATAATCTCGCAGATAATAATAATTACAGAGGAACTCATTGTTAACTACTTAGTAATTCTACCAGTTGATTAAAAATGGAGTGTGAAGTTCCTGTACACGGTGGGATGATATGAAACCATATAAATATACTTTGAATCAGCTGTTTGTTTTTCTTTTTCTTTCTTTTTTTGTGGAAAGAAGGTATGGGAG